AGGCTGCCCCTGGCCGAAGGCGGTGCTGGGTCTCCAGTCTGACGGTCCTACCGCTTTTGGAGGGAAGCCCCAGCCCAGCTCTCACCAGAGCCAGGCTGTCAGTTCACAGTGAGCCTGGCGGAGCCACCATAAGACCTTCGGAGGGCTGAGACACCCTCATTTTTTGAGGTCCTGATCCATGTCATATAAATATGACAATTTGTCCACACTGGTGCTTACTAATTTCAATTTGTTTTTTAAAAAATGTTTGTGTTTTGAAGCAGATGAATTTGCTAAGCTTCGACCGCTTTTATAAACCTTACATAGTTCGAAGGCCCTTGGGTTACAGCCTGCAGTGCGCTACGGACGAATGACGTGAACCCGGTAAAGGAACCTGATCTATGAAGGCGAGCTGAAGGGCGATTGCACACGCACACCCTCCCCCTGGTCTCTGGTGGGGAATGTGTTCGGGCCCCAGACAACTACAGGCATGACCTTCCAGCGTGGAATGCTGCTGCTCTGCAGACTGCTGGGGGCGGGGCCATGTCAGGTCCACTGCAGGCCGTGTGGCTGACAAGGTCCTCTCACTCTGGGCCTCTGTTTTCTCATTAAGTAAAATGAAGGTATATATTAGAATAGATTGATGATTTTCAAAGATTTTATTTTAGCATCAGGGCCCTTTTGCAAATGAAATCTCGTTATTAGGCCCAAAGCAGACCTGCTCTGCAATGGACAAAGCTCTGACCAGCCCCGAGAACCTAACTGATGTGCAGGTAAGGACGTGAAGACACTCAGGAGAAGGTCCCCTAGGCATCTGCCAAGAGAGAGTGGTCTCCTGCCGACAAGGGTGGGTCCTGAGGTCCCTGATATTCTCCAGACCGTGACCAGACCTGAGCTGTAAGGAATAGCACAGTAATTTTCAAACCTCTGTGGTAGCTGCACACAGTCAAAAACAAAGTTCACGTCAAGACAGAGTACACAGGTACTGAAATGTAAGTGCTCACGAACCAGACCTTTGTACTGTAAAGGAAAATACTGTCCAATACTTGGGCTGGTCAGAGATGCTTTGGGAATGTAATCCACCAACCTCTTCTTGGGAATCAAATATATTTCTGATAAAATGCTTCAGCAATTTTCTGATGAATTTTAGTGGGAATAAGACCTCTGAGAAACCACTTACATATGCATTCAGCTAATGTCAACTCTGGGAGGGACCCAATGGCCTTTAGCTATCTTTTAATAAACCTAGTAATTGTGAACAGAACTCTTTTCTGGTACCCAGTCTGACAATGGCTATATAACCATTCTCTTTTCCTACATGATGTCCTTACCAATAGATACTTGTTGAATTGTCCAGGGAGAAGCCATTTTCCTTGTTGTGAGACTGTAATGAAAACTCTGACATGGAGTTGTAAATTGCCTGAAGCTTTTTCCCTTCCTCCTCCCATTCACTACCTTAATGGTGTGATGCACTCTGACATTTTCTGTTCTATTTTATTTAAAAAAAATGCTAAGTGTGACCCACTAAATTAATTTCATCAGTTTTTCATGGTTTTGACTGGAAGCTTAAAAACCACTGGGTGGGGCAGCAGCCTATTAAGACAGAAGGACATTGCTGCCGTTATGAAATGAAACCAGAGGAGGAAACCAGGTAAGGCGAAGGCCACAGAGCACTTACTTTTCCTGAGTACCTGGTACATACCAGGAGTTCAGTAACTGTCTTCTGAAACTTAAAAAACAATAATATTTTAAAAAGGGAGCAAGCCACAAACTAAATATGTTTGCAATGCAAGTGAGAATTTGTGTTCAGAACATTTAAAGGACTCAAACATCAAGAAAAAGACAAGAAAGAAGAAAAAAGTGCAAAGGGTATGAATCGGCAATTTCTGAAAAGCATACAGAGAGCGGCTCTGCTTCACAGGAAAGACAGGAAAAGGAGCAGAATGGAATTACTAACACTGAGAAACTGAGAGGAGGAGCCCCCTTGGAGATGGAACGCAGACCTCTGAGAAGGGCACCAGCCAGCCGGTCCTGGTGTTTAGGAGTGGGGCGCAGCGAAGAAGCTGGTTCTTTGAGGAATGCACATACCCCTTACAAATAAGAACTCCCCTCAGAATAGGGAGCGTCTGAACGCTAAGAAAATAACAGTATTCCTATATAAAAACCAGACCAGATGGGAGATTCTGGATTCAGGACATGTTGGACTTTTCAACCTGATTTCCTTTTATTAGTCTAGAAAAACCTTAGGCAAGGGTGAGGTGTTGCTGGTGGGATACTCACATAAACCACGAGGCAAGAAGCCCACAGAGCGCAGACAGGAAGGAGTCCCATCCCCTCCTCCAGCTGGGAGGGCTCCCTCCTGGGCCCCTTCTTGGCAGATTGCCACAGGGATCCAGGTGGCAATGAGGAAATGTGTCTTGTGGAGCCACGGCCTCTGCCACAAAGTGGAGTATATGAGACATGGGACAAAAGCATAACTGCCATGGCCTGCCACACTGGCTAATTAAATTCCACAGCAAAAGAAGAACAAAGTTGTTTCTAACACAATGCAACTATTCTACACAGAAAGGTGCTATTACTCTCTTGCCAAGAAAGGGGCACAACATCCCAAGAGTCACTGTGTGCTTCTCTGAGAGAGAGTCACACTACCCACTTCTGAGCTGTGACATAATTCATCTCCATATTCTGTTATCTAAAGACTAAATTGTAAAGTTAACATCCAATGAAACATATTAACTAATATGTTAGTTATTAGGCAGCTTCCTGCCAGGGTAGAGTAACAGAGACCAAATTTACCCTCCTGGCTGAGCTAACTAAAGTAACAGACAAAGGTGAGCCCTACAGTTACCCCTGCTTACTGGAGGGAGCTTTGAGGTTACAGTGTAGGAAGGGGGAACTCGGGCAGAGCCCAGAATCTTCCTGAGTTCAGGTGACAGTGCTAGGGGTCCAGTGAGTACCAGGCAGCTGGAACTGGCAGGGCAGCGTACGAAACTGAGAAGGCTGTGCAGAGAGAGAGAGCTGGAGGTGAGCAGAGGTTGCCTTGAGTATTCAGCAGAGTGCTGATTGTCACCTGAATGTGAGGGCAGGAAAAGAAAAACCTGAAAGGAGGAAGAACAATTTCCAAAGCTCACATAATGCTGAATGCTGGGTCTATTCCCACCAGTCAAGGTACAAGAAACATGAAGAAGACTACGCAAAGGTTCATCATAATCCAATTGCTTAAAACTAATGATAAGCAGACATAGTAAAAGGAATCATACAGAAGCCTTTGTACATAGGGACAAAGATTAGGATAGAGCAAGATCTCTTATTGGAAGTAATGTAAGTCAGTAAGCAATGAAATGAACAGTTTTAAAGTATGGGAAGTAAAACAATATAAAAATTCTTTACCAGAAAAAAAATATATCAGAAATGATGGCAAAATCAAGACTTCATTGAACATAAAAAAAATTGAAAGAATTCATCACCAGCAAACCTGCACAAGAAAAAATGATTAGAAAGTCTTTTAAAGCCCTGGCTGGTGTAGCTCAGTAGATTGAGTGTGGGCTGCGAACCAAAGCATCACAGGTTCGATTCCCAGCCAGGGCACATGCCTGGGTTGCAGGCCACGGCCCCCAGCAACCGCACATTGATGTTTCTCTCTCTCTCTTTCTCCCTCCCTTCCCTCTCTAAAAAAAAAAAAAGTAAATAAACCTGAAAAAAAAACTTAAAAACAAAACAGAGGATTTTCTAGATTCTTTAAAAAAAAAAAAAAGAAAGGAAGTCTTTTAAGCCCTGCTGGTGTGGCTCAGTGGATTGAGTGCCGACCTGTGAACCAAAGGGTCGCTGGTTCAATTCCCAGTCAGGGCACATGCCTGAGTTATGGGGCAAGGTCCCCAGCAGTGGGCGTGTGAGAGGCAACCACACATTGATGTTTCTCTCCTTCTCTTTATCCTTTTCCGTTCTAAAAATAAATAAATAAAACCTTAAAAATAAAATAAAATAAAGAAAGTCTTTTAAGCAGAAGGAAAATGCTACCAGATAAAAATCTGGATTTATACAAAGAGATGAAGAGTACAAAATTGCTAACTATGTGAATACATATATATGTATCTCATATATATGTGAATACATAGAAAGGGCTTTTTAAAAGTTATTTAAATTTCTTTAAAAACTAATCAACTATTTAGAGCAAATATGCTAACAGTGTACTGAGGGGTTTATAACATATGAATAAGTGATTGAATAATTATGTTGATACATCATACAACATGTAAGTATCAATTATATGACAACAGCAGCAGAAAGGCCAGGAAAAACGGGATTGTGCTCTTGTAAGGTTTTTATACTTTATGTCAAGTAGTATCACATCAAGTGAAGGTAGAACAGGGTAAGTTAAAAATGTATACTATAAACTTTAGTGAAACTACTAAAAAACACAGAAAGAGTAAAGAAGCCAACAAAGATGAAATAAATAATTAAAAATATTAAGTTAATACAAAAGAAAAAAGGAAAAAAGGGAACACTGACCAGAGGGAACAAACAGAAAACAAACAGCTGGATGGCAGGTGTGAGCTCAGCCATATCAGTAAGTACGGAAAATATAAACTGTCTAGACATTCCCATATTAGCAGAAACTATTAGGTTGGATTTAAAAAACACCAAGATCCAACTATAAAAAGCAACACATCTGTTTTACATAGAAAGATACAAATAAGTTGAACATAAAAGGGTAGGAAAAGGAATACCATCCTAACAATAGTAAAAAAGCTGAAGAAGCTGTATTAATATCAAATAGAACAGATCTCAGAGCAAAGAATATTACTGGGGATAAGGAAACTCATTTCATGATAAAGAGGCCAATTTATCAAGCAGACATGATGATGCTACATGTTTATGCACCTAATAGCAGAGCTTCAAAACAGCAATGAGATGTTTGGAGCCTCACAGGAGTTCCATACAAATGTTCCTTCTTTCATTTTTTCTTTTTAGTATTATCTATTATGCTCACTGAAATTTAAACTTGAGGACACCACACCTACCTTCATGTGGTTATCAGAAGGAATAGTCCTGGGAGGAAGCAAATAGTGGTGGCAAGTTGCTTTGGCTTCTACGGACTTCAGTTTTTCCATCTGTACCATGGTCATCTGTTTTGAAAAACAAAACAAAACAAAACAGTTTTTAAACAGTGAATTTTTTCTCCAGGCCAATGGCATGTGGAACCCATGTAAGCATGTAGAGCCACAGAGGCTGGGTCAGTGTGCAGGGCTTGGGCACTTGTACCAGCTACGCTGGACCAGAGCAGCAGCAAGGACAGAGGACCAGGAATCCTGGGAAGTCTCAATGAAAACTTGAGCCAAACACCTCGCTGGTTGAGCTCTTAATTCTTCCCTTGGCTTGTGTGAGAATACTCTTCCCTACGGAAAGAGTATTCTATTAGAGACATTCTTTTACTTTAAGTATTTTCAACAACTGATGACAAATATATGAGATTTTGTAACCTACCCTCAGCTTACATGTAAATGAATGGATTGCGAGGAGAAGGGCAACAAGTGAAGGCCGGTCACAGCTATTTCCTAGCTCAACAAATCAAACGGGTAGTAGATGGAGCCATGAGAGGCCTTCCTGGCTGGCAATGGAGGGGACAACATCGCTCTCTGCTCTTTCTCGCGTGCGAGTGCTCAGCATCATAGACCACGTCACAGGTGCAACAGCACTGTGCTCCCTGGAAGCCTCCCAGAGCAGACGATGTAGGAGAGAGGTGCTGACACATGATGTGGGCAGTGTGCATTTACAATATGCAGCAGCTACATTAAACGTTATGATAGCTATAAGCTTCTTTAATACACAGGGTCATTTTAAAGCTGTGGAATCTGATGTGTAAAACAGTACGTATGGCAAATATCCTGTCAACATCCTTTTTTTCATGTCTGCCTTTTTGACACTTTCCTGCCCTGTGTATGCCCCTTTGGATTTCAGCTTTGAAATGTGGATAAATGAATTAGGAGGAAGAAACCTCGGTAAAACCCTTCTTATGAAACAAAATTAACAAAAAGAAAGAAGGGACCACAATTCTGTATCCTCCCAAGAGAATCAGTTATCTCAAAAACAAGTGCCTGGTTTTTTCACAGTAACCTTCCAACCAGTTTTGTGGGTACCACCAAGATGGGGACCAAAGCAGTTAATATGGAAAAGTCTAGAAGGATAAACTCTGAGTTGCTGACACTATTTGCAGAGGATGAGAATGGAAAGGAATGATGACAAATTATTAATTTTTCTTTACACACCTTTGAATTACTTCACTTGTTACATTAAGCACATATCCCTTTTGTAATAGACACTAATAAAGAACACTGATAAGAAGAGCAACTACCTTATTCACTTAAAAAACAATGATTAAGAGAGTGTTTGTATACAATGCATATGGTGTCATGTTAAAAGCAATTAGTAAGCTCACCAAAGATTAAGATTCCAAAGTTTATCAGTTTACAGCAGAAGTTGTTATGAGGCAGAGGCATGAGGGTAACCTCTGGGGTTTATGGCACTCCTCTGGCTCGGGCCCCTAGTCTACTGGGCAGCCCGGTGCCCTCCCCTGCAATTAAATGACATAACGTGGGCACTGACTTAGAACAGCATCTGGGAACAACAAGGGATGCCACTCACAAAAAGGTCCCACAGATTCAAGGTCATCTACATCCTGTGCAATGGGACCAACTTTCCTCCTGGGGTAAATATCACGTAAGTTATTGAAAACAGAGCTGTAAGGTCCCCTCAAAGAGCAGCATATCCCTCAACTCTGAAAGCCCCTGCCCTGACATTGGACCCTGGTCACTGCCTCTAAGCCTCTCCCACAGCATAATCCTATGATTAGTGGGGTGCTTCCTCCAATGGATCATGCTTTAGCTTTCTAAGCTGCTAGAATCTTCAGGGTTTTTCACCCTTGGTACTGTTGGCATCTCGGGCCCAGTGATTCTTTGTTGTCAGCGGCTGCTGGGTTGGGGATAACCTGTGCATGGTAGGGTGTTTAGTGACACACACCATACACCAAACTGCTCAAGCCAAGCTTCACCCACTAGATGCCAGCAGCATCCAACCCCCGCAGTTGTGACAAAAACGCCAGGTGCCCCGGGGGGGCAAACTTTCTCCCAGTTTAGAACCACTGTTACGGATCAGTTCAGCTGTTCCTCAACCATCCCATAAGACCCTGGGGCCGGGGCTACTCGTTAATATCCACATACCCCACCTGCCACAAAACCCCAAACTTGAACTTTTGAACTTTAAGACCTTCCCAGGAGCCATGTAATGTTACCTGTGGAAGTCAAGTTTTCTGAAACACTTGTCTAACATTTTAATGCAAATTCTCACTTACTGGTGGCTGCCAACAAACTATAGGCAAGAAAAAACTAGGTAGGTCAAGTCGGGCCCTGAGGGGATGAGAGGGAGGGAAAGGGTGTTCAGCCAGTTGGTGCTCTCTGAAGAGCAAGATCTCACATTCATTTTGTGCAGCATAAAATGAGTGAGATAGACTGGCAGGTGATACTCACTTACTCATATGGCTTTAAATATGACTTTAAAATGACCCCGTATTTTATATTCCCAATTCTCAACCTCTCCGTTTCGGTATTGTTCAAGAATCTCAAACTCAGCATGGCCAAAACTGAACTGATTTGTCCTCCTAAACCTCATCTTTCGCTAGTATTTCTCAAAAATGGCCATACCACCATACACCAAGTTTCTCAAGCCAAGTTCAAAGTCATCCTTGATTCTTTTATTCCTCTCCATATCCACCAGGCCTGTCAGCTCTGCCACAGCCAGCACTAACCTGCCTTCTCTCTAGCTCCACTTCTGCCACCCTAGTATGAGCCACTACCATTTCTTACTGGACCATGGCATTAGCTCCCTAACTAGTTCTTGTTTCCCCTCGTGTCCCCCACATCAGGTTTTCTCAATACCACACCACTGACATTTTGGGATAGGAAATTCTTTGGTGTGTGTGGTGGGGAGGGCTGTCTCAGGGACTGTACAATGTTCAGCAGCATCCGTTGTCTCCAACTACCAGATGCCAGCAGTAAAACTACCCCCCCCGCCAAATTCTGACAAATGAAAATGTCTCTAGACATTTCCAGGGGACAGAACCACCCACAGCGGAGAACCACTGCCTAACAACCTACACATAGAAGCCATATATTTTATGCTAAAAATATAAATTGCATCATTTCACTCCCCTGCTGAAAACCCTCCAATATGTCCCTATGGACCTTAGAATAAAACCCAAGCTCCTTGCCCGTGGCTTATAAGACCTCTGTGATTGGGCTCTTGCCTACCTCTCTAACATCCTCTCTTCCATACGATGGCTCTCCCTCATTCGAGTCCAGCCACACGGGTCTTCTCTCTGCTTCTTACACATTCCAAGTGTGCTCCCATCCACTCTTTGCACTTACTGTTCCCTCTGCCTGGAATGCACTCTTTCCAGATCTTTGCATGGCTCACTGTTCATGCACACACACATCTCAGCTCAAACGACGCTCATGCAGCAAGGCCCTCCCTGACCACCCCTTACCCTCATTCTCTATCATATTACCTTCATGGTGCTAACCACAATAGAAAACTGTCTTTTCATTTGTTGTCTGCCTCTTCACCAGAGTGTAAACTCCTCAAGAGCGGGGCCCTGTCTTCCTTGTTCACTGCTGTAGCCCAAGTGCTAGAATCCCATCTGGAATAGAGTGGTGCTCAAAAATTCCTCCCCTCCACCTCCTCAAATATCAGGTCAGGTTTCCCTTCTAAGATCCCCTCTTGATTGTTGGTGGTGCTGACTTTCATTTTAAACTACAATGACCTATGTTAAAAAGTGTGTGGCTGGGGGTACCATGTACAGAACTTAGTATAAAGAAAATAACTGCTTATTTTGAAACATAAACAAAGGCTAATTAATTAATTAATTAATGAAAATCTGTTCCTTGCCCCTCAGATTTTTAGCAGGCATATAATCATACCACTGGTCATCCTTTCAGTTTGCTACCTGCCCCTAAGCAGTGAAGGGATTATGAATCTCAAACTCACCTGGCTCAGAGGTTCAAACAGCCTATTTGTCCATCAACTCAAATTATACAGTATCATGGACCTGAAGACCTTTTGTGCTTGTGCTGGCGTCAAGTTCAAATAGTTGCCTGGGTCGAAGGCAGGATGATCCAGGGTGCAGCATGGTCAATAAGTGTTGGCTGAGTCCCCAAACCATTGCTTGGTTGTTTCTTACATTGATTTACCATGAAATCAAAGATGATTGGTCCACCTGGCAGCTGGGTGGCTGCAAACTGGAGGCAATGTCATCCTGGCTGGGGGCCATGGCCCTTTTGTAGCCTCTGGAAAGCATTTCATTGAGCCATTTTTACATTCTGGCCGGTTGCCGGCTTGTCCCTCCGGGGAGGGCTCTCTACGCGGTGCAGAGACGTCTCCACCCGCAGGGTTGACGCCTTGACGTGGCGGGAGGACGTTTCTGTGCGCTGCGAGGAGGTTTCCACGTGCTGGGAGGACACCTCTAGGACGCGAGGGAGCCGCTTCCCAGAGGGGGAATGGGAGAGCCCCTCACTATGGCGCTGGGAGGTCTCCACCTGCCGGGAAGTAGTGCGCACCAACCGGGAGGAGGTCTCCACTCGGTGAGACGAGGTCTCCACGTGGACTGTCGACGTCTCCTTGTAGCGAACGGTCTCCACTCGAGGCGAAGGGGGCTTCCCCCGAAGGGGTGAAGCCATTCTACGGATGTAACGGGGTCAAAGAGGCCTTAGGAGGCCCCACAGCCCAACAGCCCCCGATAGTCTAGCCTCCGGGTTACATCACAGGGGAAGGAATGATGTCACAAATGGCGTGTTATGTCACCGCAGGCACAAGGGTGGACAAACGTGCCCGGACACGATGACGTCCAGGCACCAAGGCCCCATGGGGACTTTTTTTCTCCCTTGCAAATACCGGATCTGTCACCCAGCTCCGTGGGCTCTGCACCACGCCCTCGCTTTTTGAAAGCCAGGGAGGGCGGAGAAAGGGGGCAGCCCAGGCTGGCCAGGGATGGGCGGAGCCTCCCGCCTCCACGCCCGGCTGTGCCCGCCCTCGCATCCCACACTGCCTCGCGACAGGAAGGCGGAGCCCCGGCTTCCGGAACTTTGTCTACCCCTCCCGGTAGTTACAGTGTAGGGGCTGGTGGCGTCTTGGCTTTTTCGCTGGTGATGGCCGCCTCTGTCGCTATGGAGACAGGTCAGTGGCGCTCGGAGCCGCGAGTCTTGGCAGACAGACTGGTTCGCGGGCCCAGACACCTCCTCCCGCTCCCCGGCCAGAACTTACAGCAGACCTAACTCCGCGCGGTTAGAGTTTGGACCGGGAGGCGCGAGGGCTCTTGTAGCGTCTGGAAAGGTGGAGGTAGTTTGGCCTTTTCAGAGTCTGATTTGGCCGCAGATCTTTTTTCCTCCCTTGCTAGTCAGACACTGACGCCGTGGGTTTCCTGGTGTGGGCGAAATTAACTGAGAGGAGTTCGACTTGTTTTGTGCGTCTCACATGAACTTGAATAAGTTTGAAATGCCGTCGACATACTTGTGTATTTTCTTGCCACTGACACTTCGTACAGGCACACGCTCCCAGATCCTGCAGATCCCTCTCTTTTCCAACTTGACTTCTTTTTTCTCATTGATTTAGCTCAGCATTTGCTTAATCACGTTAACATTTCAAGTCATTATTGAAACGGGGAGGCATAGTTATTGCCACTTACCCTAGTCATCACTTTCAAAATTCCTACGTGGTGTTTCTTAAGTGATAAATGTCCTGCCGCCTGCGTGTTCCCTCTTTTACTTTGATGACTTCTCATTAATTTGAGAGAAAATTTTAACTTAATCATTTTAATCAGGGCTTTGCTTTTCTTACCCTTGTGAGGAAGGTTTATCTCCTTTCACATCTAGTTTAGAAAAACCATCACCTGCCGTTTATGTAGAAATGTATCTCAGCATTAGGTTTTTTTACTACTGTTTTCTTTTTACAAATCAATAATATATAAGTGACCTTTATTTTGGATGGTTTTTGCTATCTTCTTTCCTAGATGATGCTGGAAATCGACTTCGGTTTCAATTGGAGTTGGAATTTGTGCAGTGTTTAGCTAACCCAAATTACCTTAATTGTAAGTTGTTGAGCATTTTATTGAATTAATGATTTCTGACAGACGAGTTGCAATTCATAATAGTGTCTGCTTTTATACTTTCTCAATTGAGCAGAATTACTGCTACACACACATATATATATTTATACTGTTATATATATATATTTGAGCAAACTAGGACATGTTTTTTGAAAATGTGTGTTGGTGGTGGGGATGTTATATAAGTAAATTCTTTATGGTAGGAGTCACAAATCAGTAGTTAAAGGATTGGCTTGCTCTACAGATTTTTTTTTTTTATGCCTTTCAGTTCTTGCCCAAAGAGGTTACTTCAAAGACAAAGCTTTTGTTAATTATCTTAAGTACTTGCTTTACTGGAAAGAACCAGAATATGCCAAGTATCTAAAGTAAGTTTAATTTTTATAGTCCTAAATATGTGTATATTTTATTTTACTTCAAAAGATTGATATTTAACAGATTTCTTAGTTTCACATTGAAAAAAGTATATTTTGAATCTTTCCACTTTTAGCTGCCACCACTTTACAAGACACACTCCACTCCAACTTGGATTATTGCAATAATCTCACTGGTTATCTCTGCTTCCACTCTTACCTGTGCCCCTTCCCCTCCCAGCCAAACAAAGCAAAACAGTTGTTTACACAGAAATGAAGCTGATCTCTTAAAAATGTAAATCACACCATGTTACTTTATTGCTTAGAACCTTTCAATGGCCTTCCATTGCATGAAGAATAAAATTCAGTCTCATTTCTTGAGCAAAAATTAATATGATCTGGCTCTACCTGATCTTTATCTGTACCATTCACCCTATTTCACTGATTTTCTGACTCCAGGGAACCCACAACGTACAAATGCAGGGCCATAGCCATAGGCTAAAAATTTAACAGAGAAAGGGGTATTTTAAGGAAGGTTTTCTGGAGGAGGTAACTTTTCCTGAGTCTTAACAGCTACTGTCTGTTTTAGGCCCTCCTATGTGTCAAGTACTGTACTAATTAAAAAACATACCTAGATCTATAGCTATAGATGTAAAATTTAAGTTGTGTAGAAGATGCTGTCATTTTAAGAGTTACTAAATTACAAGAAGCATATTATAATCACAAACCTTTTTACTTTTTAATTGTAAAAAAATAAACTTTGAATTCATACCTCTGCTTTCTCTTAACTAGGTTGTCGAAAAGCAATACAGAAACTTTTTGTATTTTTTTTCTGAACACAAGATTGAGAGGAAAATGTTTCTTGTCCTTTATCCAGGTTACTTTTCTGATCTGTGTCTAACAGTGATTCATTCACAAAGCTGCCTGCAGGACCCTTTATACCATTACTGGCTCTTTATAAACAACCATGTATTTATTTAATAGTCCAGAGAAAATAATTTTTTATTAGATTGAAACATGTAAGTACATAGACTTAGAGGCTCAGTAATGGACACTTAGTCTCAGACACCATGAAGTTCAGTTTCACCACAATGTTACTGAGATGGACATCTACACTGTGGCCAGAGGTTTCCATTGAGCAAATATTGCTCCATTCAAGGACAGCCAGTGCCAACAACTAGATGCTACAAAGTTCTTTGTATTGTGATATTATATACCTCTATGTAACTTCCGTCCATGTTTCCAGTTTTGTCCCTGAATTAATCCAGAACCAGCCTATACTTTACTGAGGCAAGGGCCCTTCAATATTTAAGTTCAAGAGAGGTTGCAAATTAACCCCTGTGGGCATATTGTTCATTCTGCACATGGTTTTTGTTATTTTAATAGTTGCCAACATTTAAAGATGGGAAAGTTTCATATAATCAGAGTTCTGGCTGCTCTTTGAAATCTGGGAGATCTGGTAGCTCCAGGCCTTCATTCTCCCAAATCAACAGTTGAGTAGAGCTGAGGAGCAGCTGCCTCTTCTAGACACTTTCTACCTTTGACCTGCAACTATGTTTATTTTACATTTATTTTTCTCGACTACCTTCAGCCATTTCTCATGTGTCCGTCCTCCTTTGGATATTTTGCAATTGTGCCTTATCTTATTCAGCCAAGAACTAAACACAGGTCTTCAGCTGTAAGGGTACAGTGGACCAAATAACACTTTATTTCTTCATATGGACGTTGTACTTTTATTAGTTTCACCTTAAGTTTACACTAGCTTGGGAGGATTGGGGTGGGGGAAGATTCACATTGTTGACTTCCTGGGAGCTTTATGTCAACTAAAATTCTTTAGTTCTTATTTTCATTAATGCTACGGAGTTCTTCACGTATGTCTTATTTACTTTTTAAAAATATAAATGCATAACTTTTCTTTTGTACCTCTTCTATTTCATCTTGTTGGTTAATGCTATAATTTCTTATTGTGTCATTTAATATATTCTGAGCATTGTCTTCTCCAGCTTGGATAAATGATCACTTTGTGTCTAAATTCCAGTTATTTACTTGTAAATGCTATTTGAAATCATTCTCTTGGTTGTCATATTATTTTACAGATGAAGAAACTAAACCTTAGAGAGGTTAAGTACCTTGTTCAAGGCCACCTAGTTGGTGAATTGCAGAGCTAGTATATGGACCTAGGTCTTTTAAACTACCAATGCCTAGGTGATAAATAAATAGCTAGGGTAGGTGAGAGGGCATTCTAGGCTCAGCTATCAGCAATTACAAGCAACTGTGTGTCTCTGGAGTGTAGACAGCAAACCTGTATTACCTTGGAAGGACAACATAGTATTGGGCCTTGCTACTCAGTGTGGTCCTCAGACCAGCAGTGTTCCCATCACTTTGGACTTGTTAGAAGTGCAGAGCTTCAGCCCCACCCCAGACCTGCTAAATCAGTCTGCATTTCCTGAAGTGATTCATGTGCATATTAAAATTTGAGAAGCCCTGCTGTACTGTTTTCCAAACTTCAGTCATTTGTACCACTTGTACAGTTTTGGCTCTGTGTACTCCCTATATGACTTAATGTTTTTTTAAATTTACTCATTTAAATTTTATGTCTTTTCTCTTTGAAATAATTTCACTTACAAAACAGCTTGGGAAAATTAAGAGAATACCTACATATTCTTCACCCATATATTCTCAATTCTAAATGTTAACATCTTATATGAAACTACAGTACAATGATCAAAATCAGAACATTAACATTAATATACTATCCAGCCTGCTGACTTCTGAGTTTGTAGGCTGTCTTACTAATATCCTGTGTCTGGTGGAGTACCCAAGTCTAGGCTCATCTGCTGCATTTTGTCATCGTGTCTTCTTAGTCGTCTTCTCCCCCGTGATTGTGACACCGAAATGACATTCTGTCCTTCTAGGTGTATCAGGAGTCACAGGAAGTTGATTTACCCATTTACTAGTGCTGTTAATTTTGATCACTCAGTTGAGGTGATGGCTGCCAGTTTTCTCCATATCATTACTATTTTTTCTTTTATATTTAATATCTTGTGAGGAGACACTTTGAAACTGTGTAATCTTGTTTCATACCATACTTTTACCCACTAATTTTAGTATCTATTGAAGATACTTGCATTAAATAATTTTTACTGTGGTGATTTTCTAATTCCGAAATTCTTTCCACATTAGTTGTTAGTTATTCTGTTGTAAGGAATATTCCCTTGTCCCTCTTACGTATTCATTTAAAAAGGTTACATCAGTATGGAGTCTTGGAACCCTGTTTTTGTTTTGTGGATTGTAATTACATATTTTCTTGCTCTGGTGATTCCAGATACAGCCTTTAGGAGCCCCTTCACATTTTCTCCTGAGTACTTTTGACATTTCCCTATAATTTTTTTAGCACTTTTCTTCGGTACTACATAATATTCCAGGCCCATCTCATATTTTTCCCCGCGTGAGCCATTTCTCCAAGGAACCCTGGAAAATGTTATATAAAACCCACGAATTGGACACCAAGTGTGCCTGTCAATACCAGTGTTACTGCTCCTAGGCCCTCCCAGCACACAAACTAAGAACATGTATCTATGTTTATTTTTATATGACTATATATAAAAAGTCAGGAGTTCACACTATTTTCAATTCTAACTCAATGATGGTTTTCATTCTTGCCTCTCCCCCTTTTCTATCTATCTCTTCATTGATAGCCAGCAAGTTGGCTCATTATCCACAGTAAATTAACTTAAGTCTTTGCTCAGTCTTAGAGTATGCGTAATTTCAGAACTCCATATCCCCATGGAATACTGGAGTATGTTTGTGCACAGTACTTTTTGAAATCGACTCACTTTTAAAATAAAAGTTGTCTTTTTATCATTATTGATAGAAAACTGAGTTACCAGTTAAGTACCTAATTGCTAAAATTAAAAGTGAGCGTGATTTGACCCCAAACATTGACTCTGCTTATCAGGTGTTGTGTGGTCTTGGGCAAGTAATCTTTCTGGACTTAAGTTTTCTCACTTTTGAAAATTTTGCTTAACGCCGACTTTAGACTGTAGCTTCTTTGCCTAAGCAGGAAAAAAACTCTATGCTACTAAAGTGTACTAAGTTAATGTTACCAATGGTGGTTGCTGATTGTGGGCTACAAGATCATTTTTGAGTAACTGAGTTAGAGCTTGACGTTATTGACTTCAATTATGCTGATCATTAATTTATAAACTTAAACCCAGGTACCCTCAATGTTTACACATGTTAGAACTACTCCAATATGAACACTTCCGCAAGGAGCTGGTGAATGCTCAGTGCGCGAAATTTATTGATGAGCAGCAAATTCTGCACTGGCAGCACTATTCCCGGAAGCGGATGCGCCTTCAGCAAGCTCTGGCAGAGCAGCAACAGCAAAATAACACATCAGGAAAATGAAAAGCTGGATCCAGACCAGACTCCTAAGACTGTATATATTGCTTTTGTACAATGAAGACAAAGACTCATCCTACCTACTTTTATTGTGTTAGCACCTAGTACCTTTAGTGTGCTATTTAATCCATCTGACTTTTTATTAATAGATTTGTTAAACCAAACTGTGCTTTGATTTCCCTCTGAATTTGTAAGTTTTTATTAGTATTTAACACAATCAGCTGGGTAAGAACAGAAACATTAGATGCTTTAGACCAATTTAAGGAGGCAGTAGGGATGGAGCAAGGGGAGAGCCATCAAACATCCCGAACTCAGCCTAGCTCTGTTCCTGATGTAGTGCTGCCTGGGGCGAGTCCATCTCCTGGAACCATACTGTTCCTCAGATCAGATACCCTACCCTTTCTATCTACGGAATGAGGAATAGAGTCAATCACCTGTTTACATCACAGGACAAGAATGGCATAGTTTTTTTTAAATTCTGTGGGACAGGAGGACATGCCTGTATTAGTACTTGCTTTGCAAGAGATCATTTTCGAATAATCATTGGTATCTCACTGACCTAGAGATGGCAGGGAGATTGATAGTCAACCAATTGGACTCTTAACCTTAGACTAGAACTAAGATGAACCTCAAATGCTTGTGCTCAATTTGGTAATACTAACATTTATCTGGCAGATACCACAAACTAGGCATTATGTAAAGTGCTTAGCTGCATTTCATTTTATTTTCAGAACAATCTTTGTTCAAAAGGAGACTGAGGTTTAGATGGGTTAAGTAATTTGCCTATGGTTACATAGCTAGTAGGGGGCATTCAGTGTGACCCACTCACAGTTTGGAGTCCTTCCTACAGCTAGGTTGTATAGGCTCTGCCGTCTCTGCCACCCGCCTCATCCCAAGTAGTGAAGCACATTCAGACAGCCGTAAAACAGATCTGCCTGCATGAAGTGGGGGCTGGATTAGATGTGCTATGTTTTCCTTCAGTGGTTAAGTCTAAATTCTAAAACCAAAGAAGATATTTTAAGAATAACAGTTCTCTGTAAATGCATGGAATTTAAGGTAAAAGACCCTAACTCATTTAGAGATTTGAAAGCTGTCTACTCACTATTAGGGGCTTTCATATATTTCTATTACCTGCAATAATACATTCTTTTGTGCTATTACTACCACTCCTGAAGATTTATTTTACTTCGGATCTTAAAGATACCCATGCATTACAAACTGAGGGTTCATGAGCATTTTATACCACTCTGTTGTTTGGTGCACCAGTTTTTATGTCATCATTATTTATTTATGGCTAACATGAATTCAAAGCAAGCATGCAAATCAGGACATCAGAAGACACAATTGTCATCATCAAATGTTAGTCTTCAGAGAACAACATCTCCACGAGGTTGGCCTGAAGACATTCCGATTCTACCAGCTTTTGAGGCTGCAAGAGAATAACAGTCAAATTGTAACCCACAGTTACAAAAATGCTAGGAAAGGATCGAGTTGTTCAGTCTTGAATGACATAAATCTTGGAACAGAGAAAGTGTGCCATTCAGAAACTATCGACTGGTGGTAACAAGTTTTATAAAATAGTTAAGATACTTGCTTTAAGATGAATCATTAAAATAATTGGGTCTAAACTTGACTAAAACCAGAGACAGGTAGCTCAGTGCCATCCCCTCCCGCCGCAGCTTTTATTCAGAATCCCAGGGCCATGGCCAGAGGTGCCCTTTTCAACTAATTATGGATTGAATGGAAAACCACTGTTGATGCCAATATTTAAAAAATCATATGTAGACCAGCTTTCTTGAGCACTGTTTATAGAATTGTAAAATAACAGCTTTTGAAAAGCATGAAAAAGCCCTGACAGGTGTGGCTCAATTGGTTGGGTGTCATCTTGCAAGGCGAAAAGCAGCCCATTCAGTTCCCCATCCCAGGCGTATGCCTAAATTGTGGGTTCAGTCCCCAGTCACGATGCCTCCCTCCCTTCCTGTATCTCTAAATAAGTAAATAAAAATAATAAAAGCATGAAAAATATGTAACATTTAGATATTTACGTTATTAATAGTTTACTGGGACTGGCCACAGGGAATGGACTGAACAATGTGGTGTTTGGGATGAAATGTCCAGACCTTTCCTCATGGGAAACCAGAACAGGTTAAAAGAGTTGACAGGGTGAAGTGTAGCCCCAACACAGTTGAAGAAAGATACTCACTGTTCCATATTTAAGTAGTGTAGGCACTGCAGTTACTTTCAGTTTTTTTCTGAAGTCATTATTTGGATCTTTCCAACTTTTTGGAAAAAAAAAGTGATCATGAAAAACATTAACCTGTTTTCTTACATTTTGTTTAATACTTAATATATCCTTACGTTTAATTCTTTAGTAATCATTGTTTTCGTTGTAAACATTTAAAAAAACCCTGAGGACTGTGACCTATTCCCCTGTGTAAAAGTTTTCATTTAAAGTGTAACTAAGCTATAAAATAAATGTAAAGACAATTAAGTTCCAAACTAACACCAGGCCAAATTCATTTCATTATCCTTATCTCTAATATTCATACAAGCGGGTGAACATTCAAGTTTCTAATTTGTATTTAATAATCTTGTAATTGTTTCACTTATCCCACTGTATCTCAGACACAGAATCCAAGTCCCGAGGCCCTTTCGCCTGTTTGCAAGAGTCCAATGTATGCCTGAGAAATAGACTGTATATTACCACTTACTAAGGTTTTTCTCCTACTTGGCAATAGATGAACACACATCCTTCACAAATATGCTTCAGCCCCTCTCGTACGACTGGTTCAGCTTTAAAAAAAAAAGTTGATATAAAGTAATCACATCAACTCCACAATCAGGCACTGAAAATGTCCCTCTCCCCTCCCCTCAGTGTTGGCTAAGGACTCAGACTTTAACCTGCAGTTAACTGAGGAGGTGTTCTAGATCAGGTGTCCTCTGGTTTGAGAGGCACTTTTAAGATAACTCAGTCCCAGTCCTGATTTGCCCGTCACGCCTCAGCTCCCAGAAAGAAAAGCAGAAACGCTGACCTACCCAAAACAGATCAACTCACCTCTCCAGTAAGACACTAATCTCGCTGGGGAAGCGAAAAGCTTGAAAGAACTAGATTTCAATACTACATGGGTCGAATGGTATCAAGAGCACTCTTGGGGCGGGGATGGACTTAACTGGAGAGAAGGGAACAGGGAGGAAAAGGAAGCAAGACGACAACTCAGCCCAGCGAGTCTTGAGACTCCCTTCGCCTCTTTTCAATGTTGCCTAGGCCTTCTTGCCACTTCCTTAAGGCAGCAGCCCCGAATCCCCGCCTCACCCTGCACGCAGTCGGGGCACCAGCTTTTCCCTTCGGCGTCCTTAGAACCGGTAAAGTAGGCGAAAATGGTCTTGCCTTTGTGCTGCTCCACAGCCCGGCTGAAATCCTCGAAGCCGGACACACTCACCTCCTCGTAAGGCGCCATCGGGAGAGCACACCAGGAACCACAGTGGGAATCCTTGGGCCGCACCGCTTAGAGGCGGGGCTCCACGTGGGGCGGGGCGAACCTGTTTCCGGGCGGGCTGGGAGTACCGCGGTGCCTAAGCAGCCACAAGGCTTAGGGGGCTACGGGGACCTCTGAGGGCCAAAACGCATCCGTGCCGCCTTTCTGCTCTCGCTTCTCCGATCTTTCGGTTCTGGCTCCATCCCGAAACCTAGGCTGCTGCCCTAATCTGGTTTTAGCCCCCAGCTCCTTGTACAGTGGCTGTAAACCCTACCGCCTTGCAGCCATTGGGCCTTTAGGTGGCTCGGGAGCCCTAACGGCTCCCAAGCAGCCCTGCGCCTGTTGCTATGGCGACCAGGCGAGCGGCCGGAAACGAGGCCTAATTGAGCTCCCCCCTCCTGCTTCCCAGTAGCCGCGCCTCGCCACCCCAGGCCGGTTGGGCTCTGGCGGAGTTGGGGGGATTCTGGGAAGCTGCGTTAGGAGTCATGGACCTGGGGGAGAGGAGACCTTGACCCGGGGCAGATCCTGCTGCTCGGCGCCCCTAATTACCTATTCTCCTGCCTAGGCTTTAGGGTGGGGCCGGGACTGGGGAAAGGGGGTGCGGGACGGGGCTGGGGTGGGTGGGGGGCAGGGAGGAAGTAAGGCTGCGAGGTTGGAGTTGTTTGTGTGTGTGTGTGTGTGTGCGCGCGCGGGCGCACGTGTGGAGAAGCCTTGGGAGCAAGGTGCCCTGGGTCTGCGTTCGGACAGACGAGAATAGCCCTCGAGCTATGAGCTGGCCGACTGGCCGTGGGCTCTTGCCCAGGCTGCGCAGGGGCGAGCGAGCCGCAGAGATGCCACGCCGCTGCATGCGGCTCAGCAGTTCTGGGCGCGGACTTCGCAGGCCAAGGGGGAAGGGATGGGTTGCAAGGACGTCCCGCGGCCGAAGAGTAAGGCGCCGAGTGAGGTCCTTGGTGTGGGAGATGCGCCGTGTCATTGCAGAGAGGCTGCAGCAGTGTCGGCAGCCACGGGGGAGAAGACAAGCGGCCGAGGTGGCCGCGGGGGCCAACGAGGCTTCGAGGACTCCTGGCACTGCAGACTCGATTGAGGCTGCAGGGGACCCTGGGGCTGTGTGGGTGAACGGAGCTGTGGGGGAACCCCAGGTGGTGGGGCCTGCGGGGTCTGTGTGGGTGACGGACACTGTGGAGGAGGAGCTGGGAGTTCATAGGAGTCCCCGGGGCTGTGAGAGGAAAGGTCGTCCTGGATCTATGGGGCATGAGAGCATTTTGGAGCTGTGGCTGAAGGTGCAGGCTATGAGGGCCGCTTCAGGATGTGGGGAAGGAAGCAGAGTCGAGCTCCATCCTGTACCTCTGGGAGAGGGGCCAGTTGAGAGGGGTGTACCTGGCCGAGCTTCGTGGGTAGAGACCAGCCGGGGTGGTCTTACAGGACCGTGGGTGGAAGGACAGGTCAGGACAGCCCCCCAGGCCTCAGGACTATCTACAGGCCTAGGAGCAGGTTGTGAGAGACTCTCAGGCTTGTGTGGGCCTGGACAGGCTTTGAGGGACCCACCTGTGGGTATGCCTGGGGCTGTAGAGATGAGTTCTGGGTTGGTCCCACCCCTGCTGGGGGGAGGACAAGCTGTGGGGGTACCTGGGACAGTGGAGGAGACAGGCTATGGCCTTGCCCCAGGCCCTTGGGGGAAAGGACCGACTATGGGGGTGCCTGGGCCCATGGGGTGGCCTGAAGCTGTGGAGGTACCCAGAGCTGTAGAGGCAGAGGTAGGCTGTAGGGGTGCTCCAGGTATGTGGGAGAGAGGGCAATCAGTGCAGGTGTCGGGGGCTCTGGTACAAGAGACAGTCTGTGGGGCCACCCCAGGCTTATGGGGAAGGGAACAGGCTGTGGGGGTACCCAGCACTGTAGAGGAAGAAGCTACCTCCATGGGTGCTCCAGGCGTATGGCGGAGGAGACCTCTGGAGGAGGTAGGCCCTGGGGGCATCCCTGACCTGTGGGGTACCAGAGAGCCTGTAGGGGTACCTTGTGCTATTGAAGAGGAAACTAGATGTGGTGGTGACCCAGGGTTCAGGGATAGGGGACAGGCTGTGTGGGCAGAGACAGGCTCTGCAGGTGACTCAGGATCATGGGAAGCTGACCAGACGGCAGAGGTATCTGGTTCTGATGGGCAGCAGGCAGGTCCTCTGGGTGCTCCAGGCCTGTGGAGTGTGGGACAGGTTATGGGAGAACCTAGAGCTTTGGGGAAGGAGGTGGGCTGTGCGAATGTCCCAGGTCTGTGGGGGACAGACCAGGCTGTGGGTGTGTCCCAGGCTGGGGTGGTGCCAGGAGCCATCGGAGAGCAGACATGTTATGGAGGTATCCCAGGCCTGTGGGACAGGCAGCAGGCTCTGGGGGTGCCCCTGGCTGACTCAGTGCCGGGGGTGGTTGGGCAGGAGCCATGCTGTGAGCATGTCTTGAATCTGTGGGAAAGGAGGCAGGCTGTAGGGGAGCAAGAGGCTCTGGTGCCTACGGCTTTAGGGGTACCTGGTTGTGTGGATCAAGAGACTGGCTATAGGGATGTTGCATGTCCGTGCAGGAGGATAGAACAAAGGAGGGAACAGGCTGTGGGCTTCTCTGAGACAATAGGGATGTCCGAGGCATCAGGCATGCCCAAGCACAGGTGTGCCTCAGCAGGGGTGCCCACAGCCACAGGCATACCTGCATCTGGAAGGGTGCCTGCTGCTGTGTGGGTGTCTGGCCCTATGTGCCCAGAAGTCAGCTCTAGAGATGGCTTGAACCTGTGGGAAAGAGTTCACTCTACTAGAATACCCATGGCTTCAGGGGTAGCTGTGGCTTCTGAGGAACTGCTTCCTGTGAGAGAGAACGCTGGTTCTGTGGCTTTCCCAGGATTATGGGGAGGGAGGCAGGTTATTGGGGTTCCTGAGACTGATAGGGTTTCTGTGGCCCCAGAGGTACCTGGCCTTGTTGGGGAGGAGACTGGCTCTGGGGGTGTCCCAAGATCTTGGGGAAGGAGACAGAGTGCCAGGGTTCCTGTGGCTGCTGTTGAGGTGCCCAGGGCTCCTGGGGTGCCTTGTCCTCTAGGGATGGAGACTGGTCCTGGGGGTTTCTCACATTTGCCAGGAAGGAGACAGATTGCAGGAATACCCATGACTGCAGGAGTGTCCACAGCTGGTGGGGTGCCTAGGCCCGTGCAGGAGGAGCCTGGTTCTGGAGGTGTCTCAGGCTCGTGCGGGGAGAGAGAGACAGTGCAAGGACCTGCAGATGCCAAGGGCCCCACAGGGATGGTGATGCCCGCCACTGCCCGGATGCCTGGGCCCATGGGGGAAAAGGTGGGCCCTGGGAGCATCTCAGACGTTTCTAGAGGGAGACAGACTGCAGGGGTGTCCGTGGCTGTGGGGCTGTGCACAGACCCAGGGGTGCCTGGGCCTGTAGGAGAGACACTCTCTGGGGGTCTCTTGGGCTTATCAGGAAGAAGACAGGCTTCGGAGAAGCCTGTGGCTGCTAGAGTTTCCATGGCTGTGGGAGTGCCTGCAGCTACTGGGGTCCCTGGGCCGACGGTGGGTGACACTAGCTCTGAGGATGTCTCAGGTGTGTGGGGAAGGAGACTGGCAACTGAGAGGCCCACTGCTGCCAGGGCTCCCGGACCTGGGGATGGGGAGACTGGCTCTGAAGGTGTGTCAGGTCTGTGGAGACAGAGACCCAATGGTCAGGACCCTGGGGCTGTGAGGGCACCCCCGTCTTTGGGTGTGCTTGCAGCTGTAGGAGTTCCTGTGGTGGGGCGCATTCCTGCTGCCGTGTGGGTCACTGGGTCTGCAGGAGAAGAAAGGAATGCTGCTGTCGCAGGCCTCACAGTGTCAAGGAGACAATCTGCAGAGGGACCTGGGGCTTCAGGGGAGGAGACAGGAGGTAGGAGTGTCCTGGGGCTGGTGGGGAGGGGCCCAGCAGCGGGAGTGTCTTACACCCACGGGCAAGGGACCAAGTTATGTAGCTGCCCAGGGTCTGTGGGGTCAGAAACAGGCTGTGAGAAAGTGCAAGGAGCATCAGACACAAGAAGGGCTATGGGGGTGAGCGAAGCTGTGGATGTGTCCCCAGTTTCAAGGGAGGAAACAGGCACTGGCCGTTTCAGGAACCACCTACAGCAGAGAGGGAGGAGACAGGCTGGACGAGTGTCTCGAATCAGAGTGAGAGGGGACAGTTTGCGAGAAAATTGTGTGGGGGAGGATAGACTGAGGGGGGCATTCCGGTAGTATGTGTAGGGAACAAATTGGGGGATCCTGGGACTCTGGGAGGGAACAGTTTGGGGGGAGATTTGTTTTGGGTTGTGGGTGAAGGCACAGGCTCTAGGGGTGTCTCAGGGTTGGGGAGAGAGATACTTTGTGGAGGAGACCCCTGGTATGTGGGGTCACACTGGGTGGTTTCCTGGAGCAGCTGGAAAGGCACAGGTTGTAAAGGCAGAGGTGTCCCAGGACTTTGTACAGGGGAACAGTTTGGGGGTGGGTGTCCCCGGACTCTGTGTGTGTGTGTGTGTGTGTGTGTGTGTGTGGCACATCACTTGAGCTCTCCTGGAACTGTGGGGATCACGTTGTGATTTTCCTGGTAGAGAATGGATTATTAGGCCTCTGGCACCCTGGGGGAAGGTGTTGAGCATATAAAAGTTGCGGTTGACCTGGCCCCAGTTCTGCAGACGCCCCTGAACTGTGGTGTTAGCAAGCCACTTGGGATTGCCTTGCTCATGTGCCTCCTCCCGTCTTCGTTTTGATCATGACTCTACAGCCTTAGAAATAAGGAATCTTGGACAGCTGCCTTTATATTCCTTCAGATGTGTCTGTCTTTAAGCAAATCCAGCCTACAAATGTTGGGTTTATTTAGAAACTTAAATTAGGAATTTTTTAAAAACCTGATTTTCCCGATTGATTTTCTGTGGGATTCCTGGAGAGAACAAATTCCCCCCAGTACACCTAACACTAGTCAGTTTATGGGAAATCAACTTAATTCAGCAAATGTTGAGTTAAATTGTCTACTATGCTCAAAGCACTGTGTTGTGGGAACTATCAGAGAAGAGCAAGACAAGGCCCTTACCCTCAAGGAACCTTGTCTAGCTGGGAAGATGAGACATATGCCTGTGAAATAGGTAAATAACAACCTGAGACAAATGTGTGATAAGCACGTGATTAGTGTAGGGATAATAAAGTGTCCAGAAGGAGGCCTGCAGAACAGGGAGAGACTGATAATGAGTGTAGCCCGTAACAGCTTACAGAACACTCATATCTTGTATCTCCACTGTGTGTGCACAGGGTGAGGGGGAGGTGGGGGAAATTGGAGGTTTGGAGAAGTCATTCAGTTAATGGCAGATCCTGGCCTAAATTTAGGTATTCTGATGCTGCAGGTTTATTTAGAATCCTTCAGTTCTGTCCTGAGCTACCGAGTAGGGTGAAGCCTAACTACTTTCTGACTAATGGTTAGGATTTATTAATGTGGAATGTGTGTCCATAAAATGCCCTGCCGGGAAGTGTTTGTTGACCACAGCAGAGCTCTGTTTTTAGAATAATGTCTTCCTAGAGACCCCTGAGATTTGAAATTTGGAATGAAAAGGGCTCAAGAGATTGTCAGCAAAGTAGTGTCCCCTTGTTCTCTTGGAAAGTAGAATTTCAAAAGTGTACTTGCTTTTGTAAATGGAAGGAACAATCGTATACCTATCTTTAAGCATGCGCTCTTTAGTGTGAGGTTGCTATGGACTACTTCTAGAATATTGTATGAGTATGGTATTGTCTTTTACTTATTCTTTTCCTTTGTTTGAAGACTCTTGGTCTGAAAGTAACTGTCTTTCATTTCAGACAATGTTTTCGGGAAGAACTGGTGGCTGATAACTGAGCCTTCATTGTTGTTCTGCACTCTCTGACATGATGGGACCGGCTTCAGTCTGTGTTCATCTGGCATCTGGTGTCCAGCTGGATGGGCGGAGTGATTCCTGGACACTTCAGGCCCAGGTAGGTTTTTATTCCTTCATATTTTCGTTATGAAACATTTCAAACATAAAAGTTGAAAGAAGAGGATAAGAACACTTTTTTAATTTTCTATTTCAACAGTTGTAACAATTTGTCCTGTTTTTCTGTCCACCCTTCTCTCAAGTTATTTCAAACCATTCAAAATGAGTTGCAGCTATCATGACACTTCTGAATATTTGAGAATACTGTTCCTAAAAATAAAGTCTTCTGCTTAGCTGTAATGCCATTCACTAAGAAATGGACAAAAGGTTTTCCTAATATTATCTAGTAATCAGTCTATTGTATTGAACTTCACCCAGTTGTACCCAAAGTGCCTTCTTTGTATTATGAAAACCTCCAAACATACAGCAAAGTCAGATTTCATAGTGAACACCTAGATATCATTGCTGTTTCACTGTATTTGTTTAATTGCATATCTGTCCTTCAGTCCATCTCTCTAGAATCCATTCATCAGTCCGTCATACTTTTTTGACATATACCAAAGTAAATTTCGGACACAAGTACCCTAACTACTTCAGCATGCATATCATATACTAGAATTTACCATTTCTTTTGATGTAAATTTTACACCTGAAATGAATACATTGAAATATATTTGTTGAGTATTGAGATTTTATTTATTTATTTTTAGAGGGAAGGGAAACATATTTTTTCACTGTTCCAGTCCTAGAATTGGCCATTTATTCAAAGAGCATTTGTCACTTTAATGGAGAATGGAATCTAGAAATCAGTATCTGGACACTGGATGTGCTCATTGATTCTCGGGTGTCATTGTTCCTAGGCCCTGTCAGGGGACGTGACTGGGGAGTAGATGGATATACTCGTGTGGCCGTACATGCGTATGTTCATATGTACACTCCCATCTGTATCCCTCTCACTCCTTCCCTTTCTCGCTCTCTCTCTCTCTCTGTCTGTATTTTTCCCCTTTCGGTGTATATGTCTGCTTGCCTATCTATATTAAAACCTATGACTTCACACAGATATCTCCAATTCCAGTGCAGCACTCTCCATATTTGTAATTCCGTTATTCAACAATGTGAAACCTTACTCCAGTTATTCACAATCTATCTACTTATTTGCTCAATCCTAGAATGTACAAAAATATTTCAGAATTTTAATCCATGCCCCTGCAAAAAGAGAAGCCTACAAATTAAAAATTTCATTATTTTTAGAGTACTTTGTATTTTTAGTTTTAGGTCATATGGTCCAAATGCTATGTTCAAAAGTTCATTGGGTTAATTTTTTTTTTAAACCTCACTTTTTAGTGTGGTTATGTTATTCATTGGAAATTCATTTTGTTTCATTGGTTGGTATTCATTTTTAGGGCTTTCCTTCATCCTTATTAATTTTACTTACTCCCTTCCTTCTCTCCCTTCTTTCCTGTCTCTCTAGTATCTGTGAAACCTCAACAAGGTTCCAAATATACTTGTACAAAAAATTATATTTGGGGAGTTGTTATTGCATCTTCATTCCTCTATCCTTTCTGTTACGGGACAAGGAGTCTGGCCCTGAGCCAGTAGTATGTGGGTTCTTGACTTTGTGTAGGAAAGATTTCACAGCATGAGTCCAGGTGACTATGAGACTGCATTGATTAACGCTGGGGACTGTGAGACAAGGAAGGGCTCAGCATGGAAGAAGCAACAGGAGAGACCAGGTTCAGCTGCCTTAACTCACTGGGAAGTCAGAGAAAGGGGGGCATTGGGGACAGGTTCAAGGGGTTAGCCTGGCTTGAGCCACCACTGCCTATTGCTTATCTGATTTCAAGTCTTTTGGGACCCTTAGAGTTTAGGGGATGCGTGTCTGTTGGGGAAGAAGAGAGGGGAGAAGGGAGGAAGGGAATGGAGCCAGCTGCTCCCCAGAGGGAAAATGTTCATACACCTGGGTCCTTTGTATTGAGGGTTGTATCTTTCTTGCAGTCAGGAATTGGAGGGGAGTTTTCAGGGGAGGCTTTCAGCAGAATATTCATCAGTTTTCTAGGTGTGCCCCTTTGGGGTCATGGTCTCCTCTGCTCCATCAAAACAGAACAGGGCAGGGGATCTTTATTCACTGCAGCTGGTCCTGCCATCACTCACCTGATTTTGCTGCTTTTCTGGGTCTGGAGCTAAAATACAGCTGTGGCCTAGATGCTATCCCTAGGGAGGTGACCTTCTGCATCTGGCTCTCAGTTGCTCTGCCAGTTTGTACAGCTGTCTGTCTCAGTCTCCCTACTTGTCCTGGCCTATTGGCCTGACTCATTTCCACCCAATTCCTGCCCATACCCTATAGATACCTAATCTTAATAGTGTCTGATTTTTCTTTCATGTGCTTCTTTTTGTCCAAATGATCAGACATGTATATATTTTCTCATATTTTCCCCCTTTTTTGAAGATATTACAGGTACTCTTTGGCACTTTGCTCTTTTCCCTGAACAGTGTATCTGAGAAGTCCCTCCACATCAGTTCACAGAGATCTTCCTCATTCATTTTTACATTTTTATAGTACTCCTTTGGGTGGATATAGCATAACTTATTCAGCTGTTCTCCTACATAGCATTTAGGTTGATTCCAGTACTTTGCAATCACAAACAATACAGTGGTGAGTAACCCTTTGCATCTAGATGTATTGGGGGTGTATCTTCAGGGTAAATGGCTATAAGTCAGGCTTCTGGATCAGAAAGTAAGCACAGGTAATTTTGTTAGATTTTGCCAAATCCCACCCCTGAGGATTGTACCAATTTGTGTTTCCCACCCACAGTCTGTGAGAGCGTCTGTGTTTTCACGGCCGCACCCACAGCATGCATTGTCATTCCTTTCACGTTTCTGCTAATCTGTTGCTGTTCCAGTATTTTCTTAGTTTGTATGTTTATGAGATCGACCAGTTTTTTATGTTTAAGGGCCATTTTTATATATAATTTTGGTAAGTTGTCTGTTCAAGTGTTTTTCTCATTTTCAGTTGAGTTTAGGTATTTTCTTAATATTTAAGATTTCTTTATAAAGATTTATATATAGGGAGCCCTCTGTACTTACAAATATTAGTTCTTCTTTGAATTTTTATGGCCTTTTTAAATAATAAAAACAGGTAGAAGTTGTTCTTAAAGTTTTTATTTTAGTGTAATGAAATTTTGTCACTCTCTCCTTTATTGCATATGGATTTTGAGTTAGAAAGTCTTTCCCTACACCCAGGTCAACGAGGAATTCACCCATAATTTTTTCCTAGTACTTACATTAAATCCCCCAGGCACTTTAGGTTGTTTTCACTTTGGGGGAAAGACTTTGTCCATATTAAGGCTGTAAGTTTCAAGTACTGTTTATCATTATGTGTGTACCTTCCATACTGTTTTTCTTCCTTTTAATTTCTGGTGAGGTTTATAACTGCTCGGCTTTTTTCAAAATACTGACTTGAATGTTATAACTGTGGGTTTATGTTAAACTGACTCCTCACACACGTGAGTGCATGAGCACGCTTCACCGTGGAAGCCTGGGAGGCCGGCCCCTGGACAGAGGCCTTGCAGCACGGGCTTCACGGAGTGTGTTGTTGACATGCCCAGAGCTGTGGAGTTGTTTGCTGCCTCTGGCCTGGTAACCCCAGAATAGATCATTTGTCCTAAGGAAGTAGTCAGAAAAGATGAAAAAAATTAAATGTATGGAAAAGATGCAATAATCTAAATGTTTAATAATAAAGTTATAATTAGGTTAATTGGATTTTGGAAATGCGACCATGAAGAATAATGAAAACTGTGAGAATATGGAAACATGACTATGTTAACTGAAAAACAAAATCAAGTTTGTATACGTTATGATTAAAACTGACAAAAACTTAAGCCTGCATAAGAAGGTGTAAGTGGCCTGTTCAGAGCAGCATGGACTTAGGTGCAGAATAAGAGGTGTGGCCCAGCCACCAGAGGAAAACCTCAGGAAGGCCTGAAGAGATGGGGTCGAATGGCTTGAGTCCGATGTGGCTCTGTGCTGTGTCTGGCAGCAGTTTTGGGGAACGCTCATAATGGATTGTGTTGGATTATTTAGAAACAGGACAGACGTCGTTAACTGGAGAGTTGAGCTTGCTGGTTGCTGCTTGAAGCATTTTGGGTTGAAGTTTAGGGGAGGGTCCTGGTGTACTGTTAGTAAACTGAAGGGTAGGCTTGGTGGGGAGTTAGGGGGTGTTAGAGTGGCTGATTCTATCAGTACAAAATAAAAATACCTTTTAGCACTAATAATTGTATGGGTAAATTTTTAGAAACTTGACTACACACATATACCAACTATACAAAATGCTATTTCTCTAATGAGTGCTTACTTTTATTTATTTAACTTTTTAAAGAACCAGCTGCAGTTCAATAAGAATGTTCCTACACATTCAAGCAACTTGGCAATCCGGTATTCTCCTCCACATGCCATTAAAATCGAGAAACTGAAGCACTTGCACAGCGAGTCCGACTGTTGTAAAGACTTGGATTTTAGACACGGTCCTGACCAAAGCAGTTCTGTTTCCTTTTCTGTCATATCAGAAGAGAGACTTAGCCATGCTGTCCACCTCGCCAAAAGAGATATGAAACGAAGACAATTTGAAGAACATGTAAGACATCATCTCAGAAGTCAGCCCCAAGTTTCTCAGAAACACGGATACACCAAGCATAAAATGTCTGACCTTGGTGTGGACAGGAAGGAATTGAAGAATCAAGAGGTTTTTCATTGCAGCCACCAGCCGCCCAAAGCAGATGTTTCCAGCTCAGGTGCCAGGGTATACATCTACACATCTCATCCAGGACAGTCGGATCTGACCGTGCCAAATTCACCACCCACCCATGATCCAGGACTTCAGCCACGTGCCAGGGTAGGTGACCACAAAAGCCTGTGTGAACACAGAAGCCTGCTAGAAGTTCAGCGACTCCAGAAAATATTGAACAATTGTATCCATAAAATTGAAGAAGTAACTAAAGAAGGTGAGAAAAACTGGTGAGAGTGGGGTAGCTCAGATGCATTTCTTCCTTTGGGACCCCCGCCCTATCAGGTTCCACTCCCTCTTCTGTCCCTAGAGCAAGCACTCGTGACCAGACAGGTGGACTTTGAGTTTGCCCAGTGTCTTTTTCTGAAGAGTTTTCCCCGCCCCACAGCTCCTTTCCTGAAGCTGCACTTGATGATCGGCTGACCAAGGGCCCAGCCCAGAAGGGCCTGGGGCACTTGCTGTCTGAACCTTAGGTCTTCTGGCACCAGGGTGAAAATCATCCTGTAAAGTGGTGCTTCTGTACCCAGAAATTCTTCAGAAAAATTATTTTTAATTTGTTTGAAAAAGAGCATAGCGTATGTGCATTGTAAATTAAACCAGGTTTAATGTAGACAAGTGTTTAGATGAGTACACAGCAGTGACAAGGAAAGTGGCGGATGTATATGGAAAATATCTGACCATAGGGTAGAAAGGAAGTTGTATGGTCACCACATTACTGTTTTCTACAGTTCTTCAGTATTCTCCAGACCCTTGTGTTTCCCTGGGGAACAGAGTGTTGATTCCACGTGGAGACATTACAGTTACCATAGCCAATGAGGAGGAGAATCGGGCCCAGGTCAGACTTCAGGGTGTAGGGAGTTGAGCATCACATATTGTGTTAGGATACTACATAAGTCTATGATGATCTCTGGCATTTAAAAATTAATTTATATATGCATATGTATAGATATGCATATTATATCAGGAATTTAAGGTACCTTAGAAAAATACCTGTGGTTGAACAACATAGAACAAAACACATTAATGAGGATATTGTAGCACATGAAAAAAATGAGGAAAGGAAAAACAAGATATATTCAGGATGGGTTACAAATTGGTTTCTGAGCTTCCTAGCATCCAGCTAAAGAGAAAAGTGTGACCAGTTGCAGAATTTACAAAGTCTAAAATAGAAAAAGCAGTTGTGTGAGGAAAAGAATTATTGCACATATGAAGACCAGAAAAAAATGTCTTCTGTGGGTCTTCATAAAGAGTGTGTTGTGTAATATGATGAAGAATTAAAACCATTCCTATATCACGCTAACAGGAGTGTTAAGATTTGTTTCTTGTAGCGTTGCTCAGTGTCAGCCTGTGGCAGGTCCCCGTGGCATACTGGGGTAGGAGCCACGCTGCTGGGGGAGAGAAGCCAAGAGGCCCACTGCTCTGCTGATGTGGCTTAATACAGGGGACCTTCGGAGCAGAGCTTTTCAAACTCTGTGGGGAAGGACTGGGTTGAAGGGGCTTTGTTTTTTGTTTTTTGTTTTTTTGTTTTTTAGTTAAAAATGTCAATTACAAATCAAAACTTTCTAAATTAGAATAAAAATGTCGTGACAATGGCGCATTACTATAAAAATGTGTAAGTGCACACTTCTGGTTTCTGCACTTACCTTGTCATGGACTGGTAGTAGTTTTCAACAGCCCCTGTCTGTAGTCCACCCTTTCAGGTGGGCCCTAAAATGCCCGGTTGTGCTTCCCAAGTGCTGCTCTGCACACTAGTTGCATCAGAATCACCTGCAAAGGGGGTAAATGGTGATGAAGGAGACTTGACTTGGACTGATGAACACACAGTACAGTATACAGATGATGTATTATAGAACTGTATACCTGAAACCTGTAAAACTTCATTAACCAATGTCACCCCAATAAATTCAGTAAAAAAGACCAAAAAAGGAATCATCTAGAAGATGAGCAGTTAAAAACCCCGCCCGAGCCAGTTGCCCTGACAGCAAGTACGTGAGTCCAGAGTCTTTCCACGCAGTGCAGGCCAACAAGAGACAGAAGCAGTTTGGCTTGTAGGCTTCTCTGAGGCTGCATCTGTGCCCACACCTCCTTGATTTCAAATTTTGATTTCTTCAAAAAGATTTTCATTAGTTGACTTTGTAATGAGTAAATATTAAATATTTGAATTTATAAAATGTACTTTATTAGTGGAGTTTTGCTTAAGGATATGTGTTGCATAAATGTACTTGAAAGCCACCAACTGGACAGAATGGACAGGTTGCACACTCCTCAGGCAGTGTTCCAGAGACGATTTCTTTGAACTTACCTTTTGAAAATGTGGAACACCATTATATATGGGGAACACCATTGTATATTATATATAATCCTTCCTGACAAGTATATGAAGGCTTTGGACATTCATACACTCTTCATGTGTTGGGGAAAGGATTTCTCTTCCGGATTCCAGGAAAGAAAGTGTAAAAGAAATCTTGTTAAAAAGTAGGCCAGTAAAGGGTTTCTGAAAAACGATAGAAAGCATTACAGATTTTGGCCCAGTGTAAAGAATTTTAAAATAGTAGGAGGAGCTTCCCATGGAGTAGGCAGTGCAGTGTAGTTGGGATCAGGAGATCCCGCACCGAGGGGAGCCTGACCTGGTGCGTCCTCGTGGCCCTGCTGATTCAGCATATCACCCTTCCTTCTGATCTCATGGTCAGTGAGAAATGGCATTTGTTGTTGTGACTGCCCCGTTTTTCTTTGTAAAGTAGAGCCCTTCAACTTACATTATCTTTTGAGCAGTTGTATTTTTGTGAGTTTTTATATTTGGTTTATAACTCACTTGGGGGGAATATTTTCAGAGAGAATGGAAGAAGCCTTGGACCCCGACGAAGAGCGGCGGATCCGGGTCAGGAGGCAGGAGCAAGCCGTCCGTTCTGCCCGCACGCTCTACGGCCTCCAGCAGCAGGTGCAGGCGCAGGGAGCGGTGGGGCCCTTGGCCTTGTGTGTGACCTAAGAGATGTGTTTTCCTTTTGCCTCAGAAATGTTAGCACCATGGTTTACTCTGTGAACTCTCATTATGTTTGTGAAGCTAAATTTCCTGAACATGCGGACAAATAATTTCTTTCTCTTTCTGGCATCTGCCTTTATGTGTGTGTATTGTCTATGTAGCCAAGCTCCTTAAATAGTGGTTTTTGACTTTTTAGTGTCAGAGACTCTTGAGAATCTGCTAAAAGCCATGGGTCCTTTCCCCATTTAAAAAATTGCTTATACAGCACATTTTCCCAGACAAAGTCAAGGGGATTAGTTACCCTAAAACCCTTTGTCTGCACTTATGAATCTTCATCTTAGCCAGAAAGGGACCATTTTAGTTTCCCATCTGTCTCATGTTTACAAGGTGCTAGAAACAGTAGTAGTAAATAATTTGATCATCTTTATTGAATAGTAAAAAGTAAAGACTATGTTAAGTGTCTTTTAGGACACATTTAGTGGCTGAAAAAGGAGCATTTACATTGTTCATGGGTAACTTTTAAAAAAATATTTGTTTTACCTTTAAGGGTTTACTCATTAATAGGTTTTTAATTCATTTCTGGTCTTATTTATTGAACCCAAAACTGGACCTTTTTATTTTAAAGAATATGTCTGAGATTTTGTTCCTTATTTGGGGGGTGGGTTCTATTTCAGTCCTTACTCTATATTGTTGCCATAGAGATTGTTTTAAAACACAAATTTTCCATGACAGACCTCTGCTTAAAAGACTTCAGTGGCCCTCTGTAACACAGGGTGGAAGCTAAATCTTTTAGCATGGCACTGAGACTTTCTGACCTGGCCCTCCTAGCTTTCGAGGGTCCCCTCCCCCTTCTCTCCTTCGTGCTCAGTTCCTGTCACCCTGGGGACCATGGGACGGAAGGTGGACCCTGTGCTCTAGTCACTGTCTTGAACTGGAAATCAGTAACTGTTTTGGGGGCGCAGGAATGAAGAGCCTTGTCTTATTTTCAAGTGACTTGAATTAAGAATAGTTAAATTTGGATAAGACAAGCTGTGTCCTCTTCTACAAAAAAGATCAGTGGAAAGGTACGAAGTTTTCATGTTTTTCCCTTTATAAAACAGGTTAAAGAAATCCAGGAAGAATTGGATAAATTGAGTCCACATAAAACTAAGCACACTAAGAAGGTATGATGCAATTAAATTCTGATTAATACTTATCATTTATAAGTTAGATTTCCAATGTGTTAGCATCAGGTATGTATAAGTTAGATTTCCAGTTTGTTAGCATCAGGTGTGTTCTCTGCACCAATACTATTTTCAGGGCTTGTAGAAACCTATTAGCGAGGGCATGAACACCTTAAATATTCTGAACTTGGGGTTGTCTTCCAAATTCTCGAAATAGATATTTGCTGCTGCTGTAAGAAACTGAGAATTGGAAGGAAAAGACTTTGTCACTAGAAAGTCTTTAAACTTCATAATTCCCTAAACTATGAAAAAGTTTTCACAATGGAAATAGCTCAGTATAGACAGAAGATAAACTGTACGTATTCTTAAGGATGGGGTTAATGTCAAGACGTTCTGAATATTGAAGTAACTTCTCACATTTCATTTATTGCCAGTCATGGGCAATGTCCAGGCTGGCAGCTGCCCATCGAGGAGCCATTCGGGCCTTACAGACATTTGTCACTCTGTTCACTGACCGAGGGGAGCACCCCGTTCCTGCTCAGTATAGGGAACTGGGCAGTCTCATTCGCCAGTTGTCACTCTGTTCTGCCAAGTTGGATGCTGACTCATCTGTTGCTGATGTGGTTATAAATATCCTGCATCAAATTGAGGTATGAAATTGACTCTAATTTTTGTCAAAAGTGTGTTGTTTCTAAGCAAGGAGGTAATGTTTACTGCCACCAAGTGTCACTGAGATTCATGGAGAATACAAGACAGAACGTCTACACCTTGTAAATTAAAGCTTTACTGAGGGCAGAAAAAAGACTTCATTTTTATTTTATTGTTTTTATGATCTAGTCTATAATACTGTATTTTTACTTCTTGGAGAATGGTGGCTTGAGTCTAGAATATATATTACCTCTTAACCAGGTCCATTAATTAAAAAAGAATTTTCCATTTCCTGACTGTGCCAGTTAATAAAGGATTTTCTACCATAGAAAAAGAAAACAGTAACGCATTCTTAGATTAGTGCTTTAATTAGAATATCAGTGTATAATCTAGAGAGACTTTTGGAAAGGAGACATTTTAAGATCTAGGGAAGCAGAGCCTTAAGTCTTGTGATATGGGTAGAGACTTCTGGAAATCACGACTGGAATGTACTAGTCAGGAATAAATAGTGTTCTTTGTTTTTATTGGTGACAAAGACGGCAAGGACAATATGGTCTTAAATCTTGATATTTCTATGAGGTTCGCAGAGTGCTACCACAGAATTTGGCATTTTATCTACTGCAGTGCTGTGACTTGCAGTAGATTTATTACTACAATTTTACAGATAAAATTTTTAAAAAGCAAAGGTCAGAGACATGACACAGTTACTTCTCTTGAGAGCTGGGAATCAAATATCCCATCTTCCGCTCCCACGCCACTGTTACTTCCACTGCACTGCACGTTTTCATCCACAAGTAAGACGACCCCTCTGTTAGTGTGAGTTGGAAAGCCGTGGCTGTAGAGGAAGGTGCTGTAGTGGGGACAGTCGCTGGCTAATGACATACTAGTTTTACCATCAACTAGCCCTGGTGTTCTGTAAGGCCCCTTCTACCTGCACAGTTCCATTAGGCAGGAGACATGTTTGTGAGTGCATTGGTTACGCCATGGGTGTAGACTCTCCATCGGGAATGTTGGTGCCAAATGCAGACCCTCAGACAGCATGTCAAGTCGGGTGGTGCTTTTTAAACTTATCCATAGGAAACATTTATTGGTCAAAATGATTTCCTTTAGAGGATGTATCTTTATGATCCTAAAAAGCATCTCAAGAGATTATCTAATCCCTTTCCCAAGTGTTGAGCAAAAGTGAGTACTTTAACATGATGTTTCTTAAACAGAATGTTTCTCTCTCCTAAACTGAAAGTATTCAGTCGTGCAAGCAGTTCATTCTGTCTTGTTGATTACTGCACCATCCATGGCTTATTTTTTCTTACTGTCCTCTGCACAGAATCTCCCTGGCCATGTTCAGTGGTCCTCAGTTTGTACTGACCGCATGGAGCCTGGGCCCTCACTGCCTGGCAGTGAGTGGGTGGTACATTATTGGAGGACATGCCTCTTTTAGAAGAGAAGGGACACAGATCTCCTTCCATTGTGGTGGAGGAGTGACGAAAGCCACTGGAGACAGTGTTTCCTTTTGTTTATGAAAGTGTACATTAAATATAATCTATTTACTCTCAAAATTATTTGAATTTATGAGGTTTTTATTGAGAATTAAAATGCCTTTAAAGCATATAGGATTATATTCTAAAAACTAGGGTTAGGTTCTCAAATGGTAACCCTTAATTTTAGGATTTGAGTACTTTCAAATACTCATATACTTTATCTTTTTGCTGTTGGGTTTAGTAAGCTTAACATTTAAAAAAACATGCAGAATTTGATGTCTTAAATAATAAGGTTTTAAAATTAAGTTAAACAACATTTTTTAGTCTTTAGAGACAGCCCTTTAATGACATATTTCTCCAGAGTCCTTATTTTGTGATTAAAAGTCAGACTTTTTTAAATCACTGAGAGATAAACTAAGAGAATAATGGTTTTATGGCAGGCTTTGGAATCCCTACTGGAAAATAAACTGTCACCCAAAAAGATGAAGAAAAGTGTCACTGAAATTAGGAGCAGATTTCCAGTTGGTAGCCAGCGGTCCTTAGAGAGGTGGCAAAGTACATTTCCAAAGAGCGAGAGGAGACCCTTTGTGACAAAGAAGATATTTCCACAGGAAATGAGACAGCTTTCAGTGGCAAAGAAGGCTCTTGCTGGTATGTGTCTTAAAATGTTCATTGCAAGGTATTTTATTCTTTGGAATTGTCTGGACTGTGACAGTTGCTACACTGAGGGGCAAATTAGGATTGAAAACATAGTCCACAATAGGTGTACTTGAACTAAGACAAGTGAATTGCAACCAAGATGCTTCTTTAGGCTGCAGGCTGGAGTATTCTTCCTTAGAGGAGGGTGGAAGAGTGAAATTCCCTTTTCCACATCATAGTATTTGGGCTACCCACAGTAAATTTCTGCATATCTGGAAGTTAGAGCCCTACTTTTAATTTTCATTTTAATGATAGGGAAAGAGGCAGACAGATGCATATATACATGCGCATTAGATATATATGTATCTTTTTACATAGGTGGTGAATTCTTGTTATTCCAACAAATGGAATTGCTAGCTTATGTGGTGTGCACATTTAGACTGCCAGCTTGCCTTTGAAAATGGGCATACAATTATGTTTGGGCTAGCAGTGATTGTCAATATACATTTCCCCATATCCTTGCCAAGTACTTTATGTAATGAAATTAAAAATTTTTTTCAGTCTCTCAGGGGAAAAATGGTATCTTACTATTTTATATTGCGTCTCCCTGGTTCATAGCATGTTCCTTAGTCACGTTTATTTCCTCTTCTGTGATTTGTCTGTCCTTTGCCATCTACGGGCTGGGTTCTGTGGCTTTTGTTTATGGACATATAGAAGTTTGTTATATATTCTGGGTCTTCCTCTTTTTGTGGTATACATATATTACAGATATTTTCTCTTAGTCACTTGCTTTGTGAAATTTGTTTATGATGTCTTTACTGACACAGAAAGTCTTAATTTTGTAGTCAAAATCAACATTTTTTTCTTACATATTTTAATATTTCATGAGGCAACTCTTTCCTCTTTGTTCTTCTTTTTCAAAATTTTGCTGATGGTGCCCTGGCTGGCATAGCTCAGTGGATTGAGCGCGGGCTGCGAACCAAAGTGTTGCAGGTTCGATTCCCAGTCAGGGTACATGCCTGGGTTGCAGGCCATGACCCCCAGCAACCGTACATTGATGTTTCTCTCTCTCTCTCCCCCCCCTTCCCTCTCTAAAAATAAATAAAATCTTTAAAAAAATTTGTGCTGATAGTGATTGATTGCTTGTTTTCAGAGAAATTTAAAATGAGCTTGTCATGTTCCGTGAAACATGATGTCCAGATTTGACTGGTATCACCCTGAGTTCATAGATTACATTGGAGAGTAGTGACGTCGTTACAGTATGAAGGCGGCCCCTCAGTTTCTTCATGTCCTTTTTCCATCCCTTCAGTTGAATTTTATGATTTTCTGCATATAAGAATTCCTGAGACGGGAATGCTTAGGAAGCTTAAATTCCTTGTTAGGTTTATTTCCAGTTATTATTGTTACGGTGAATGGGATCTTTTTACTACATTTTGAAATTGGTTATTGCTACTTACAGGAAAGCTGTCAGATTTGTATGTTGCTCTTATATCTGGCACCTGGCTGAAATCTTTAATTTGCTGTGATAAGATATATATTTGAACATTTCTGAAATTGGTATACATTCTTATTGATGCTATCTTATAATTAATTGGCAATACTTTAAAATTTGTTATTGATGCATACAATAATGATGTCTTACACTATAGATTTGAAACAATATGAGATTTTGTTCTTTTGCATTTTCCCAGAAAGATGAGATCACCTGCAAGTAAGTTTTGCCTTTCTCTTTGTAGTTTTATACCTTTTCTGTTTCCTCTTTCTGCTTTTTGAGTAGTTTTCATTCAGAATAATACTGAATAATAGTTACAGTGGTGGACATCATTTCTCTCCCAGATTTAATGGGACTGCTTCTCCTGTTTTTTACTTTGTACGCTACATTTAATTTAATTTTAGCATACACCTGTTTATGTTCTGTTGAATATTATTGCTTATTTACTATAATCCTCAACACACAGATTTTAAAGACCAAAATTGCATACACTGTACTTGCACAATTGATTAACATTTATGCTGTCTTGGAGATTAAGGGATAAAAGTCATTTTAGCACTTTAATGAACATGATTGTTCTCTGTATTTTTTTCTTAAGATTCTATTTCGGTGCTTTTTAAATTTCATTTTTCTTTTTTTTTTAAGATTTTATTTATTTATTTTTAGAGAGGGAAGGGAAAGAGATAGAGAGAGAGAGAGAGAAACATCAGTGTGCGGTTGCTGGGGGTCATGGCCTGCAATCCAGGCATGTACCCTGACTGGGAATCGAACCTGCGACACTGGTACTCAGCCTGCGCTCAATTCACTGAGCTATGCCAGCCAGGGCCTTAAATTTCATTTTTCAATTACAGTTAATATTCAGTATTATTTTGTATTAGTTTTAGGTGTACAACATAGTGGTTTGATAGTTGTACACTTTTCAGAGGGTTCCCCTGATATCACAGTACCTACCTGGCACCATTAATGATGAATAGTTATCACAATATTGGCTATATTCCCTACGCTGTACTTCACATTCACATAACTGTTTTGTGTCATTTTGCACCCAGGCCCCCAACCCCCTCTCCTCTGGCAACCATCAGTCTGTTCTCTGTATCTATGAGTTTATTTCACTTTAGTTTGTCCCTTTATTTTGTTCTTTGGATTCCACTTGTACATTAAATCATATGCTATTTGTCTTTCTCTCATCCATTCTGTTGCAAATGGCATAACATTTTATTCTTTTTTATAGCTGAGTAATATTCCATCGTATATATGTACCACCCCTTTTCATCCACTCCTCTGTTGATGGGCATTTGGATTGCTTTCATTTCTTGGTTATTGTAAGTAACGTTGCAGTGAACATTGGGGTGCATATATTCTTCTGAATTGTGTTTTGGGTGTCTTCAGATAATATACCCAGAAATGGAATCTCTGGGTCATAAGGCAGCTTCATTTTTAATTTTTTGAGGAATCTCCACACTGTTTTCTATAGTGGCTACTCCAATCTGCATTCCCACCAACAGTGCACTAGGGTTCCTTTTTCTCCACATCCTCCCTGATACTTGTTTGTTGATTCATTGATGATAGCTATTCTGACAGGTGTGAGGTGGTATCTTGTGGGTTTAATTTGCATTTCTCACCTGATTGGTGACATTGAACATCTTTTCATATGTCTATGGACCATCTGTATGTTCTCTTTGAAGTGTCTGTTTAGGTCCTCTATTTTTAATTGGATTGTTTGTTTGTTTTTGATGTTGAGTTGTATGAGTTCTTTATAAATTTTGGATATAACTCCTCATAGGGGATGTCATTGGTGAATGTCTTCATCCATTCAGTAGATTGTTTTTTAAACTATTTTGTTGATGGTTTCCCTTGCTGTGCAAAAACTTTTTAGTTTGCTATAGTTCTGTTTCTTTATTTTTTCTTTTGTTGCCCTTGCTTGAGGAGATACTATCAGAATATTGCCAAAAGAAATGTCAGAGATTTTACAGCCTATGTTTTCTTCTAGGAGTTTTATGGTTTTGAGTCTTATATTTAAGTATTTAATTCATTTTGAGTTTATTCTTGTATATGGTGTAGAAAGTTGGTCTGATTTCATTTTTTTGCATGTATCTCTCCAATTTTTCCAACACCATTTATTGAATAAACTGTCTTGCCTTCTTTATCAAATATCAATTGACTATATAGTATGGGTTTATTTCTGGGCTCTCTCTGTTCTGTCCCATTGATCTGCACATCTGTTTTTGTGCCAGTACCATGCTGTTTTGATTGCCATGGTCTTATAGTATAGTTTGATATCAAGTAGCCTGACACATCCAACTTTGTTCTTTTTTTCTCAAGATAGCTGTGGCTATTTGGGGTCTTTTGTGGTTCCATATAAATTTTTGGATTATTTGTTTTAATTATGTGAAAAACACCATTGGTATTTTAATAGGAATGGTGTTGGAACTATAGATTGCTTTGGGTAGTGTGCACATTTTAATGACGTTAATTCTGTCATCCAAGTACTGACCAGGCCTGACCCTGCTTAGCTTCCGAGCTCATATGAGATGGGGTGTGTTGAGGGTGGTGCAGCCGCAGACCAACGATGTCAGTTCTTCCTATCTGTGAGCATGGTATATACTTCCATTTATCTGTATCTTCTTCATTTCCTTTCTTTAGCGTCTTCTGACCAATTTTTTGAATACAGGTCTTTTACCTCCTTGGTTAAATTTATTCTTAGGAATTTTTTTTATGCACTTGTAAACAGGATTGTTTTCTTAGCCTCCCTTTCTGATAGTTCATTATTGGTATACAAAATGCAACTGATTTCTGAATATTTATTTTGGATTCTGCTACTTTAACTGAATTCATTTATCATTTCTAGGTGTTTTTTTTTGTGTGTGAATCCTTAGGGTTCTCTATATACAGTATCATGTCATTCACAAATAATGACAGTTTTACTTCTTCCTTTCCAACTTAGATTCCTTTTATTTCTTCTTGTCTGATTGCTGAGACTAGGACTTCAGTACTATGTTAAATAAGAGTAGTGAAAGTGGACATCCCTGTCTTGTTCCTGATCTTAAGGGAAACGCTCTTAATTTTTCCTGGTTGAGTATGATGTTAACTCTGTGTGTGTCATATATGGCCTTTATTATGTTGAGGTATGTTCACACTGTTCCCACTCTGCTGAGAGTTTTTATCGTAAATGGTGCTGGATTTTTCAAATGTTTTTCTGCCTCTATTGATATTATTATACTATTATTATCCTTCATTTTGTTTTTGTGATGTATCTCGTTGCTTGATCTGCAGATAGTATACCAACCTTTCATTTCAGGAATAAATTCCACTTGATCATGGTGTATGATCTTTTTAATGTGTTGCTGAATTTGGTTTGCTAATATTTTGTTGATTTTTGTGTCTATGTATATCAGGGATTTTGGCCGATAATTTTATTTCTCCATAGTGCAAAATGAGCTTGGGAGTCTTTTCTCGTTATGAATTTCTTGGAGTTGTTTGAGCAGGGTAGATGTTAGTCTTTCTTTCAGTGTGTGGCAGA